AAAAGTACACCTTTCATAAACATAAAAACCTCTTCTAAATTTGGCCATTATCAACTGTAGCCATTACTAATTTGCTACGGTATAGATTTAGTAAAAGTGTTAAATATCGATTTACACTACATTGGGATCATTGCCAGAGCGCTCATGTGCGCCAAAACGGTAAGCTGTTCTACTTCCAATTATTTTATTTTAATTCGATGTAGTACAAAAGTCGATTAAAAATGCGAACTGTTAATGCAGTTGACTAGATTGATATGATCATCTGTATCTGTATTGTAGAATCTGGTTTCATTAAGCGTTCCGTCATTGTTTTAAGTTTACATACGTATGTCATGTAGGCAAAACAGATGTACTACTATTTGCTAGGTAATGGCTTTAGGAAGTCGTCTGTCATAGAACCTAGTGGAATCAAAGAGCCCTATCGCGTATTTATTCAGGAAACCACGTGGCACAATTGATAATATAATGATAATCTTCCGTTGTTGTACAAAGGCTGACTCAAACACGCCAACAATTGAATGTAACATAACAATATCTACGTATTATGAAATTGCAACGGAATTGTACAAGCTAACTTTCTATTTTCAAAATGATTTTCTGTACAGTTTTGAAAGGTAAATAATCATAAACATCATTTATAAAACAACAGATGAGCTGATATTGAACTACATAGTACAAGTGAAGGTCCACATTCAGTAATCTTATGATAGAAGAAAAAAATGTTAGTTTTAAGGGTAGTTAATACATTATAAGCAATCCAAAGTCATTATATTTATATATCTCATTATATTTTTACATAACACGTAAAAATATAATGAGATACGTTTGATACGTCATCTGCTATTTGCTTCTTTTTTCTCCATTTTCCAAGAACTAAATCCCGATGACACTTTGCAGACAGGTAATGACGTTACTAATGATATGATGACTATCGGCTCCATAGAAGTAAGTCATGAGCGTGTATTGAGTTTGTTTAAGTCTTTAGACCTCACTAAATCCGCATATCGCCAATATTCATTATTAACGTTGGGCTGTATGCTGTTTAGCAGATCCATCTCAGAAGACACTATCCCACAGATCTAGAAGGCTGCGTTCGTTACGTCTATTTAAAAAAAAGGAGATCGGGCGAATATAGAAAACTACCGACCTATTTCCAAAATATGTTTATTTAAAAAAATATGGAAAGAATTTTATATACACAGGTTTACTCAGCCTTGAGGAATAATATTAGTGAAGAACAATATGGCTTTTTCGAAGGACCGCTCCACCACTTCCAACTTGATCCTGTCACTTGATTTTATAACGCAGGACATGCAGGAGCATTGTCAGGTAGACGAATTTTATACCGACTACAGTAAATGTTTCGACCGTATTGACTATGGAGTGCTTTTAAATAAACTACTAAACGCAGGAATGCATGGCGACATGTTTCGGTGGTTCACTTCTTACATTGAGAATCGCACCCAGGCAGTGGTATTACAAGGGTACTACTCTAGAGATATGGTCTAGAGTAGGTCCCTTACGGTGTGCCTCAAAGTTAGATTCTCGGGCCGTTGCTCTTTACATTGTTTATCTCTGATATAGGCAAATGTTTTCAACACTCCTATATTTTACTATATGCCGATGACATGAAGATTCATTAGGTGATACGGAATGAACTCGATACTAAAAAGTTACAAGCAGATTTAAACTTATTGTAGCATACACAAGTTCGAGCTAAGTGTAGCTAAGTGCTTTAGTGTTACATATTCGAGCCGGCAGTCTATTACTGACTCAGTGTACACATTTATTTATTTTATTCAAGTAACATTACAAGCTCACAGTCTCACAACCAAAACGCTTATATGCTATACTACATTGGATCAGATATACAGACCACAGATCATTATACAAAACAATACATTAAATTATTTATATAAATTACAAATAATTAATAACTCATACAATCACACAGAAATAATAAAATGTCATGAAATAAAGAATTAAAGCAATAAGATGTCATAAAAATTTACAAGATGTCAATAAATATTAATAGCTATACAGAGTACATTATAGGTAACAGTTATTTATGAGTATTTAAAAAGATCATTACATTTTGCATTAATTTGGGTAAGCTGTCAAAAAATATGTCTGCATCTACATTATTTTGCAAAAAAACATTAATTAGTTGGATAGCTTTTCCCGTGGGGCTACTAACAGCTTGTGGGAGACGCCACGTTGTAGGATAAGTCAGGAGTCGGTGATGGCGACGACAACCGCGCAAGTAATTATTTGGTACATACAAATTAATACATTCACACACTGATGGATTGTCTACCCTATCGTGAATTAGCAACAAATAGTGCACAATATGGTTAAAGTTTCGCCTAAGCTCAAGTGTATCAAGGCCCACCATGCCTGATACAAACATAGAAGGAAACAAGAAAGGGTAATAACCATACTCCCGCTTGTACAGGTATCGGGCAAATTTACGCTGTATTCTTTCAATGGAAAGGGTATATATTTTTTCTTGCGGGCTCCACACTATTGAATTATATTCCAGTCTACTACGTACGTAGGCATTATAGAGCAATTTAATAGGCTGTGTGTTGCTAAATTGAGAACAAGTCCTAATGATGAACCCCAGAGCTTTATTAGCGTCTTTACATATTTGCCTTATATGGTCGCGGAAGTTTAGCTTTTGATCAAAAGTCAACCCTAAGTCTCGTATTAAGCTGACACGCTCGAGAGGTGTGCCAGCTAGCGCATACGTCACATGTAGCCAAAATATCAAGAAAGTTGATTGGCATTGCATTGGATACCCAACTTTGATTAGTTTGGATACCAAACATTGATTGCATTGGATACCAAACAAGCAATTGTTACGAAGGCATCGAAAGCTTTAGGATTTATAATAAGAACCTCATCCACTTTCACATCTTTAAAACCTATAAAAAATCTATATTGTAGCTTCGTACGCAGCCATTTAGAGTATGCCGGGCAGGTGTGGAACCCTCAGTATGAAACATACAAATCACGTATTGAAGGTATTAAAAAAATATTTCTGCGATACCTTGACTTTCGAACGCAACATTCTCAGCTGATTACGAGCATCGATGTAAAAGATACCACTTCTTACGCCTTTTTTTTTTCGGCCTGCTTCTGCTAGGGTTACAGATGGCCTCACCTATCACCCCCAGGCCTGCGCTTATGGAGGACGGAGGTCGTTCTGCGACCTCCGCCGCCTGAGTTGCCTGCGGTACCTGGCCCGTTCCCGGGCCTGGCGGGCCGGGCGAGTTCTAAACCTCTATCGGTCCCGCTCCGCCGTCTCCTTCGCGAGCATAACATGCTAGCAGAAGCAAGTTATGCTCGCAAAGGAGACGGCGGAGCGGCAGAGTTCCACGCACTCTCGCTCCGCACCATAGCCGCAATCAGGCTATCGAGCCAGAGAACTCCCACTCCGATGGCCGCCACGAGGTCTCGCCTCTGCTCAACCCACGCCGGGCACTCTGCCAGCGTGTGAAGAGCCGTGTCCACGGTCTGGCCATCGCAGTGGTGGCACTCAGGCGTTAGGCTCCTTGCGGATCAGACACAGGTGATCCCCGAAACATCCTTTCCCAGTGATCACCAGTATGAGACGACTGTCCCGTGACGCCTCTCGAGCCAATCCTCCATAACGGGTCTTACCGCCGCGATGACGGCGTGCCCGACCACTTCTTACCCCTAGAATGTAGATGTCAGATAAATGCTGATAAATCTGCTTTTTATTAAACATTGCGAACGGGTCGTTGGACTCTCCTGAGCTTATCTCAAAAATATGCCTATGTGCCAATCCAACAAGATTCGGGCAGAGGCCATTGTTAAATGTTCCTTTGTCCCCGCTGTAATAAGGCGGCTATTGGTAAATAATTTTTTTGACTTGCTTGACGTATCGTATCGTCATACCACGTTGTTGTAAACACATACTCAATTAATGGTTATTGTGGCAATAGCGCATTCAATATGTTCTCTTCATTGTTTGTGGAGAGAATGCATAACAAAGAAACGTGATATACCTACTGCAAGGAATACTCACATCAACAGCCTTATAGTCCACTGCTGGACATATGCCTCTATTTAGAAAAGAGGTTTTGGACTACTATACCACGCTGGCCAGACGGGTTGGTATAGGGTTTGTATCAAGTTTTCCTTCTTTTTGCAGTGCTTGTGTCCTGCGTTGTTTTGCGCACTTAGTCGGCTCTTACGACACCCACGAGATGAATTAGGGTAGTGAAATTCCGTATTCTTAATCCGGCACTACACGAATAATACTGATATAATCTATTTCCCCCTATAAATATTTAAATTTTTGGTTTTTATATTACCTTCTTTTAAGTTTGTGGTTTGATATTATTTTAATGTATTTTTTATTCGCTTACTTATACATATGTGGAGGCTTGTAATACTCGTAAGCAACCTTTTTCATTGATATTTTTCTTTATGCAATGTGTGTTATTAGTCTGTAAGTCTTTATAAAATAAAATAAATAAATAATATAAATAAATTAATTTAGTTGGTTGCTTCAGTATATTGATTTTCTATGCGGGTTCTTCAATGTTATATCTATTTTAAATTCTTCCGCTAGTGTAACGTGTCTAAAACAATATTCCTATATTTGATTCGAAAACAATTTCTACTCCCAGTTTTCTTAGTCCAGACTTGGATAAGATAAATATTTTCATTAGAAACGATAGGTTGAGAATTTAATACATATAGGTACACACATATGTAAATAAATAGATATGTAATTACTGAGTCAATAGTCGTGAACACATGAGTTATCAGCCAGTAAAAACTTTTTTATATATGCTCAATATGGAAGTTAAACCATTCGGACCTCTTCCACCTAAATATAGCGGTTTAAATTACCTGAACAACCTCTAGTTACCTTCTCATTATACCTTCTCATTTATAATTTTGTTAATGTCTTAGTTTGCTTGTTTTAATTGTAATTTTAATATTTTGTTATTATTTTGTTACAGGCATCATAGTTGGCGAGGAATTTGGATACGATGGAAATCTTGGTAAGTAATCTTTCGGCACTGCTACAATACTGCTTCACACTGGTTGGTTTCCTTTCTATTTACTTTGCCATCCTCTTTTCGAATCACTATCACCATCAACCTAACCAGCCACATACTACCTTTCTCTACTTCGGACACGGAGCTCCGCCTGACCTAGTCTCCTTCATAGGAAGCCCAGCTAAGTCATTTTTAGCAAACTTTCCTCCCTGTTAGCCAAGGACGTATACTCTGTCTCTTTTGGGTCTTCATAATAGAAAAACACAGAGCAACACAGGCCATAGGCGGACCGAAGGGAAGTAGTCATAGCGTCTTTTCGCGATTTAAATTAGTCCGTCATTTTTTGCAGGGAGAATCTTCACTACGCACACATTCTCGGACTTCCATCCAAAAACAATTGGCTGTCAATACAAAACTCACACATAACAATTAAAACACAATAACAATTTCACATCCATATATACACATTATATATATACATATATACACATTATATTAATGTAAAATTGACATGTTGCCAAATAACCGTGGCTCTAAAAACTATCGAAAAGCAATATCGATAAATTCGAGAAGTCGGATAGGGAAATCAGGTTTAAAAATCGGACAAGTGCGAGTCGGACTCGCCCACCGAGGGTTCCGTAGGTACAAATTTATAGGTACTTTTTTCATACTTCGTCATAAATTGAAAACTATAACATCATAAAAATAATTTAAAATCTGTTTCAGCTTGTGCCCATGAAGCCCTTTTATATGATACCCCACATGACACGGTTAATTCAGTTTAAAATTTGAACCGTCGTTCCTTGCATACCCCTGTTTCTTATGATTTAATTACAAATATATAGTTTTCAGTTTTTATACTTGTAGTATAAGACGGTATTACTTGCCAATTTTTTTATAGTTCTAGGTCAACGGAAAATACCCTATAAATATTAATTCCCTTCAGTGTCAAAATATACTTGAATATATATTTTGACGACCGAATGGCGTAGTGGTTTGTGTAACGGACTGCTATTCCAAAGGTCGCGGGTTCGATTCCCGCTCAAGTCTAACATTTGTGTGCATGAACATTTAATGTTTGATTTGGTCTGGGTGTTTTTATGTATAAAAAGTATGTATTTACAAAAAAAAGTATTTATGTATTTATATCAGTTATCTAGTACCCATAGTACAAGCTCTGCTTAGTTTGGGACAAGATGGCGTTGTGTGAATGTGGTACAATATTATACTTTATACTTATACGTTTTTTGCGGCATAAACGGCAGTATCTTTTTTTACGTTAACTTAGAAGTTTTAAGAGACTGTAGACCTGAGTATATCGTTTTAATATCAACCCGATACCTAAACGCGTTCCCGAGATAAAGGGTCTTGAAAGACAGATAGACGGACAACAAAGTGATCCTATAAGGGTTCCTTTTTATGTGACACAAGGGTGTATATTAATTTAGATAGGACTTTACTTATTACTACAACAATCATCATTGATATTACCAATCGTTTTTTTATCACTGGTTTTAAACTGGATTAATTTTGTACATAAAGGGTTGTAAGGGACGTCGTAACGAATAGTGAAATGGTATACTCAGACCATCATTCTGAGTCGAAAATTAAACTTTTTATAGAATCAGCTGTCAAAGGTTACGGTCATTCCCCGTTGGTATCGCACAAAAGTTATGACTTCTTGTGTATTTGGTGCAAAAAGTCTATGCAAACTAGCGGTTGGCGGCCGGAGGGGAGGCCCCGCGAATATTGTGTGAGAGCGGGCGGCGTGTGTTGGTAAACAAATCGCAAAGAATACAAACGTTATTCTCGTAAATTTTAAGTTTAAAAATGAGTAAATAGTAATAATTAAAAATTAGTTACATATGAAAGATAACGCCATCTTTTTGTAAACTTGACCTGGCAGATCTCTTTTTAAATCAAAGAACTGAACGATTCAGCATTTTTGTGGGGCAGCGACTGTCGTCTACTCGACAGCGCCACTAGATTTAGTCTAGTGAGCGGTCCGGGCCGTAACTAGTTATATTGTACCCATACGAGTATGACCGTTTGGACTTATACTTTGGCAGAGGGGAATGCCTGCGTATGGCTACTCCCTACTGTGTTGCTCTATGTAGAAAAAAGATAAAAGATATCGATGCTCTAGCCGAGTCCGAAATTAACATTAGTTATTGTTGAATTTGGTGGTTGGTCATACCGAGTAGATGACTACATAGCAAAAAAAATGAACTACTCTTTTTAACATTTGTAAGTGAAATGTATTTGACGGTAAAAACATGCACTCGGATTACTAGCAAGTAAATTACACAATAAATGTAATTCTCATATTTCAATTTGAATCGTCACCGTATAAAAGTTTAATTTATGAACAAATTTAATGTAAATCTATGTCCAACATTACAAAGACGTATCAAATGCGGTTTTTCTATCCTTGATCCCACGTAGTGTACAACAACGATTATTTCGCAGGTATGTAGGTATTTGAAGTTTATCTTCAAAACTAAACAATAGCTTTGTTTTTTTTTAATTTGCTTAGCAACAAAAAAGGTCAACCTCTCTGTCTGTTATCGCGATAAAAAGTAGCCTATATCCCTCCTCGAGAATCAAACTGACCGGTCATTGATTTTCCATACAAACTTCTAACGTGAAGAGGTAACAGACAAACAGATAGACACACTTTCGCATTTATAATATTAGTATAATTGCTTCAAATAATAAAGTAATCCACAGAAATACATACATGTAATAATTATATAATAATATCGGGTCTTCTTCAGATGGGGAGTAGAATCGTTAGTTTGACCACTCATGTTTTGAGTGTTTTTATAACAAAATGGTACCTGAACCAATTACCAATAGTGGCCCTGGATAAGAGGTCCTCTTATTCCATGGGCCCCGTCGTGGTTAATCCCCCGGTGCCTCATTAGTGGTCAACTCGGTCCTCGTACCGGATCAGGCCCAGATATTTGATCTGGGCCTGATCCTCGACGGGAGGTGGCTCTTCGACGAGCACTTCCGACAGCTTGCTCCAAAGCTGAACGGCGCTGCGTCTGCCCTTGGGCGACTTTTGCCAAATCTAGGTGGACCCAGCGTTGCTGCAAGACGGCTGTACACGGGGGTTGTCCGGTCAATGGCACTATACGGTGCACCGGTGTGGGCGGTGGCTCCGACCGCTCAGAATAGGTCACGCCTTTGGCGCCCTCGGAGGATATTGGCGGTTAGAGCCATACACGGTTACCGCACCGTTTCGACGGAGGCGGCGTGCGCATTATCCGGAACACCCAGGTGGGATTTGGAGGCGGAAGTGCTCGCCGAAGTATATCGGCGGACGGCTGAGTTCCAGGCGGATAAAGGCATTCGACCCCCGCCCGAAGAGATACGCGAGTGGCGTGAGGACGCTCGCCGAGCGACGATGGCTCGTTGATCGTGCCGTCTGGAGGCACCACGGGCTAGCTTTGCCGCCGTGGAGGCGCTCCGGCCGCTCATCGTCGAGTGGGCAGGGCGGCAGCACGGGACCCTTTCCTTCCGTCTGTCGTAGGTCCTTTGCACGGCACGGCTGCTTCGGGAAGTACCTGCACTCGGTGGACAACGGCCAACGGACAACATCCATCGCCGTCGTACCGGACGGCGGAGGCGCGCTTACCACCGCCTCATGCCGCCCTGAGTGTGGCCACTCCACCCGCCACTACATAGGATCACTAAGTCATTGTAGGAGCTAATATTATAGACGCGAATGTGTGTTTGTTTGTCTGTTAGTCACGATTAAGTATAATATAATAGTCTAATTTGCATAGGCTTTGTCAGGGACACAAAAAAATTGTAGGGCTAATACCCAGAAAAAAGAACTATTCATTAATAGGTACTTGTTTATAATTATAAATAGTACGTTACAAACCTAATCCGAAAGTAAACTACTTCTGATACTGTCGGAAACCTTATATTTAGATTATTGAGGCTTTAATTTCTTCGGTGTCATTCTAGGTATGTTTTTGTTGTCCTAAAAATTTACTCAGTTGTGTCGTATACGTGTCTCGGTGATAGCGCGGATAAATATTAGTGAACCTAGGTGAGAAAGAGTCGCTCTATTAATGTGCCATGCTATGCATACGTTATTTGTCGTGTAAATCATTATTCCAGCGACAGCATATGTCTATTATGTAAACATTTCACTTAGCTTATCTAGCTCATTTTATCTGTACATAATTTTCTATGAAAACCATGTATAAGACATGAGCTATCACGAATAGATATAATATATTCTTCCTTGTTGTTCGTATCTTTTAAAATGTATTCTTTTTTTTCATCTTTCATTTTACGTAATGGATTTTAATGCGTTTTATATTTATAATACATGCATATTATAGTAGAGGAAAGCTGAAAGAAGAAATTTTAATTATTTGTAATGTGTTATGTAATACGACCTTCAAACTTTCAAGAAAAGGGCGTACTCCTTCCTAATAGGCCGGCAACACGTTTGTGACTCCTGAGTTGCAGACGTTCATGAGCGACGATGGTGACTTTCCATTAGGTGACCCGTCTGCTCGTGTACCCCCTCTAACATATAAAAAAATATGTAAATGTGTATAAAATATACTACTACTTTAGCTCAGATATATAAATACAATACATGTCTACTAGTACGAAAAATCTTAGACAAAAATATACATACTAAGCTAACATTTACAAAAAAAGGAAACACTCAAAAAAGAATAACAAGACGAAAAAATAATTTATGTTTAAGACACCCACGAACCAACTACGGAAATAAAAATATTTTATATGAAGGAGCCCAACTATATAATAAATTACCAAATAACATGAAAGAAATACAATCAATCAACTTATTTAAAAAAAACCCTTAAGTTCCACATCTTTAAAGAGTTCTCTAGTTTTTAGCATCGCGATTGTAATTATGCAATACCCGCTTGCTATCAGACACCGATACGTAATGCGACCCGACCTTTGTATTTTCTTCTTAATGTACATTTTAATTTTAGTTATGTGATTTTGTACAATGCTTGGTGACACCGTCAAATGCGCTCGTAGATTATAAGTTTACTTTTAAGTTCATAATTTGTAAATCTCAATATAAGTGAATTGTATTCTTTTGAGTAATTAATATCTTAAACCAGAAAATATGTTTTTATGCGCTTACATTACGAACGCTGGCTAAACCTTGCGAGATAGATCAAAATACTACTACTAGTACTACTTTTATATATCTTAAAAAGATCTACAAAAAGTCCTCCTAAGGATAACCCACAGTAAAAAAAAATCTTTTACATATTACAAAAATAATAGGTAAATTACGAAGCTATTTTGAATAATACAGTATTATTCGTTTTGCAAATAAATACGTAAGTTAGATACGTTGTGCATTTAATGTAGATCAAAATTGCCTTTACAACATATTATTATTATGAATATTTAAGTAGATATTAGAGATTTATTATGTGGGGGCAAAGCGGCTGTAGCCGCGTCGGGCCGTACGTCCGTTCCAGCTGGCACGGGTGCAATGCAGATGGGTGCGCATCACCCATCTACATTAAACCCGTGCGAAGTTAGACCGAATTGCTAGTTAGGTATAAAATGTACTCAGAACTTCGAGAGCTGAGTACATTTTATACCCAATTTAATCAATATCAAAGACAGTGAACCAAAAAGAATTATCAAGATACATTCTCGATTCTCTATTTTCAAGAATACTTACCCAATTCACCGGCTTTCTAATTTATGAGTACGTAGTATTTTTTGGTAACCGTAAATATTCATTATTGGCTATTGCCCACTTCCCTGCCCGCGTGTATGTTGGTTATCGCAGTAAAAAGTAGCCTATGCTACTTATTGATATTGTAGATTTCCACTGGTGAAAGAATATTTAAAATCGGTTTAACGGTATAGGTGTTAAAGCGTAACACACAAACAAAAAAACTTACTTTCACATTTATTATATAAGTATGGATTAGGCCATGCATAAGAGTGAAAATACTAGTAATATAAAAAATTATTACAAACGTATACGTAACGGATATTTAACAAGGTAACTCGTTTATAAAAACTAATCAAGTGAAAATGACCATGGTAGTTTGAATCAATACGAAAATTATATTAAATTGTATTGTGTCATGTTGTTGGAATAAGTAAGCCTAAAAAAAACTGATTTAGGCTTAACAACAAAGCCCTTCGTATGAAGACAGAAACATTTATCGAATTCACCTCCCGTTTTATTAATGAATTGTGATTTATTAATGATACATTTCTTACTGCTAGAACTAATTTTAGTCCTAGTTGTAGTTTTCAGTAATAATCATTTATTGCATTCTTCCAATTCCCATTTTGTAAGTGTTACAATATTGTATTACCGACAGGACCATTGCACTGGGGAGAGCGATACCAAGAATGTGCAGGCAAGCATCAAAGCCCGATCAACATCAACGTGCTGCACGTGAAACAAGTCACGCTACCGGACCTCGAGCTTATAGGCTTCGATGACTCCATAGATAATGTCCACGTCACCAACAATGGACATACAGGTATCTGATTTGAACTGAATTAAATGATGCATGGCCATTGTATGCATTTATTCTTTAGGTTCATTCATAAGTATTTATATACTCATATCGTTTGAGCGATCGATCGATATCATTTAGGATCATTCTGGGTTGTCACAATTCTTTAGTATAAATTTAATGTAACGACAATGACAGATACAAGGAAATATCCCAGATGCAATTTATATAGTTTTAAAATGATTACTTACTCTTCTTTTGACCCTTTTCTTATAATTAGTCAAATTATGAAGAGATCTTTGCGGATCCCGAAGGTGTATGTGGTTTTCCTTTTCTTTGAAAAAGACAACTCCCTCTAGGAATATATCCTGTGTCTGGGGGACCTTACAAACATACATAAAACGGACACAAAGAACACCCATCCATATAAAAGGCGATCATCAGGAAAAAGTCCTTTTCCGTCAGGCAAAAGGTGTATCATTTTAGAAAGAAGTCGTCCTCTTCATTGTAATTCGATGCGGCTGAGAGTGTGAGACCTTGTACTTATGTTTAGTGATAAAGTGACAAGCAAGAACATATTCCGTCCTAGAGTAAGCAGTTCCTGTTAATTAACAAAGCAAGGTCGTTACCATTTGTCTGTATTTCCCCAATTACACGAGCCAGAGTTCTTCTACGCCATCAAATCTAAGATAAATGTGTCAAATAAAACTTTTATAAAAAGAGTTCCATTATTGGATTTTTGTACATATTTTAAACTGTTATTATTATTAGGTAGGTATGTTTAATGAGAGTTGAATGGTGACTTTATTTTACATTTTAGTCTCTTTACTTTTTTTGCTGTCCAATCTATACTACTATGGAATGCGCTCCCACTTGAGATCTGGATGTCAAGTTGTTAACAAATCATGACACGTTTAAAGAATTTTACAAGAAACAACTAGCAGAAATAGCCTCATGATCTTGTCACTTCAGATATTAATATTGTATATATTTATACGATAGATATCATCGTATATACCTATTTTATTTTGTATATGAAATTATGTATTCGTCTATGTTCTTTTAAATAGCACTATTAATTGTAACTTTATATTTTTAATGTTTAGTTCACCCCGTCAACAAAAAAAAAGGTACAGTGTCCTTAAAAGAAAGTTCATTACGAATTTAAAAAAAAACGGTTGAAAATATAACTGCTTATTCCTTTGTAATAATACATACATACGTGTACTATATGTTACTAATAAATCCACAAAGTTTACAAGATACATCGGGACTATAAAAGATTTTCTCACCTTACTCTTAAAGCTTCTGGTTCCTGAATTATCGAATATTTGCCTTAGAGAAAATATTGTTTTAATCTCTTTCTGATTTTCAGTGTTAATAGAGGTAAAGAATGAACCACATCCGCGTGTGAGAGGCGGTCCTCTGGACGGCGATTATATCTTCAGTCAAATGCACTTCCATTGGGGCGACAATGACACTATTGGGTCAGAAGACAAAATCAACCACCGAAGGTAAACCTATTCATATGTGATTTACACATGACTATGAGAACGGTAGTTCTTTAAAAACTATATATATATGCCTTAGGAAATTTATGTGTTCACACAGTAGTTAACGTTCTAATATGATGTCAGACTATGAACCGGAATGCGAATGTTTTATGTTTTGCCTTAGAAAAAGTTTTATTAAATCGAGTAGGTACGTGGGCAACAAAATTTGTCTTAGTTGCTATAGTATCAAAGCTAACATTATAATTACCTGTTTATTACAGAAAAATATTAAAGCATTTAATTTTCCTCGTTTATTCAATAGAAATAGGTGGTAGGTACCTATATGGTTTGTGGTACCTACCAGTAGGTACTAGAAACTATCTAAGTGGGTAATTATGGCACGGATACAAATAAACATATTATACGCGTAACGAGTAAGAATTATTTCCAAGTAATTAGTTGTATTTGTGCACAACACAATTATTCATTATTATTTCATGGTGCATTGTAATAATTCTCATATATAGATGGTAATATTGTTTTATCGTAAGTATAATTTTGAATAACTTACAGAAAAATAATTATTAACAAATGATTTATGTTAGACCAAGACATATTGTGAACAGTTATGTTACAATCAGATTATGAAATACACTTAACAATAATAAATAAATAACTAATTAAAAATTTTAGTATCAGGCAACATGCTGGCGCATTCAGGCAGCACGCAGATCAATTCTATCTGCAATGAGTGGCCATGAAATCGTTTTTGGAACCCTTGTATACAAAAACGCTTCATAATTTATACATCATAAATATATTTATTACTTGGACTGAAAAACATTGACAGTAAGCCTTGAGTAGTCAACTAAGTATTCAATATTCCGCCATACGTTCCAAATATAAAGTAGCGACTAAGCTTACCTATAGCGTAACTGGAAGGTACCTACCTACCTACTACCCTACTTACTTTGCGCTGTCATATTGTAGATAAAATAAAAGAATATTTTATTCAAGAGGTATTATTCAATGACAAACATAATTAATAAAATCAACTAGTTAAACATTTACAGCTAAATATTCGAACTAACAGTTTCATGTCATAATCTACACTTGTGTACTGTCGTAACTTTAAAAGTGAGAAATAATATGGAAATTAGTAAATCAGGTGAACGTAAAGAAACGTGTACAATCCTTAAAAGCTTTTCGTTTAAATTTCAGTTTTCCCATGGAACTACACATGGTGTTCTTCAAAGAAGACTATAAAACACCTAGCGAAGCTGTGAAACACTCTGATGGCTTAACAGTTCTTGCTTTCTTTTATGAGGTGAGTTTTGAAATATATCACATATTCTAAGATGGAATAGAAGAGTAGATATATTAGGTATAAATATTTCATTAATACTTTGCTCTTTATCTCATCTATTAACTTTAAACGAGCAATTATTTTACAATTCGGCAAAAAATCGTGTACTTATAGGACGTTTTGTTGCTTGTTCCTTGTAGTTAAGCAGTCGGGAACCAACATTAAGTCTCAATGCTCTACTGATTGAGCAGTAAACTTGAGTAAAGTACTAATTGAGTGGAACAGTAGGGCTATAGAATAGATATTTTTTAGTTTAGTGCCGCCGTTTATATTTTGAATAAAAATATGTCCACGTCTGCTGTTTGCCTGTCCGAAACACAATAGCAAACTCGCAAGCGTGTAAATGGCGTCCAAGCGTTTGTAAAGACTCGGAGCTGGTGGACGTTTACCAAATCTCGGCACGCATGTAAACTAGGCATAACATGTTTGTTCACGAGCTTGAATAATGGCATCTATGACGCAATGCGATCGGCTGCACAACTGCACATACTTAGGACTATAAAAATATACCCTTACGAGTATTAAATATCAGAACTCTTCTTATTGTCAGCAACGCCTTTATAAATTATATGAGTTTTAAGAAGATTACCTTTTGCCCGCGTTGTGAATCGATTCTGGTATCTCTCGAAGGCAGTAGATAGTTTCTGGACAAAAGTGCAGAAACTATTAGAAAATTTTCACGATAATGAGTCGAGTGTTAAGGCATGAATGAAAAGCAAACTTATACTCGAATTATAATATTATTTATGATTAGTAGTAGACCTTATAATAAACAATCCATGATTTATGTGCCCGTGAACCTAACGACGTTATTATTCATGATTCCAGTTGGATCGTCACGAGCATCCTGCTTACGACGATATCACATCAGCCCTTGTGAATGTAACAGAGCCACACACTAGCGTAGTAATGGACCACCCTTTCTCATTCCTCAACATACTGCCTTACGATCTTAAAAGGTACTTCACTTACCGAGGTTCGCTGACCACGCCGCCCTGCTCCGAAGTTGTTATATGGCTGGATTTTGAACAGCCTATCAGGCTTGAACGCGAACAGGTAATGCGAAATCATTATTATTAGTGATTTTTGAGTTTAGAATAATTAATTAAATTAAATATTTCATATGAATTAAGTTATGAAAAATTATGTACATTTCCCCACACGTACATTACATTACTCGGTAATATACTGTCCGTGTGGTAACGGATTAAGAATACGCAGTGTCATCACCCCTATTTATCCCGTGGGTGTCGTAGGAGCCGACTAAGGGAGCAAACTACGCAGCATTGCAAAGAGAAGTAAAACTTGACACAAACCCTATACGAACCGCGTGCCAGCGTGGTATAGATAGTAGGATAAAATCTCCTTTCTAAGGAGAGGCCTATATCCGGCAGTGGACTAGTAAAGGCTGTTGATGTGATTTGATGATGATCTACTGTATCAAAAGCAAAACTTAGGTCCAAGAATATTCCAGCTATTAGTAAAATTTGTAATATTTTAATAAACGGATAAGTACCTACCTAATAATTGATGTTCTCCGTTTAATTCGATTCCTCTCATGATCTCACAATAAAGTATCGCCTCTTTAATATTATTTGTTGATTTTGTAATATTTAGAAATCTTTGCGCCACACTGAAGAAATTTAACAAAAAATATAGCAGAATAGTTGTTTACACTAGCAGTACTACAACCTTGTATTTCTAATGTTTCAGATTGAAGCGTTCCGACAGATCAGATCGGCGCATGGCAAGATCACGCATAACTTTAGACCGATACAACCTATTGGAGATAGGGTCGTGTTTTACAACGTAGATAGCAATTACTACGTGTACAACGAGCTCGATGAAACCGAATGGACAACGACCCATAGTCCGTCTAAGAAAAAAAAACATGGCAACAGCGCTGTCACTACTCTTCCAACAACTTTACATTCACTTAGTCTTATATTTGTTTTGTTTATTGTATTGTGATACAATTTTATGACTTAACTCACATCTTTTTGTCTGACAGTACTCTTTGTGTTAACAATTTAAGTATCTGAAGTCAAAGTAACTTGTAGGTACACAATACATGAGACGGGATTTTTAGGTAGGTATATTTTATTTAAATTTTACACCCCTCTTGTGTTTGCTTTTAAATAATAAGTTATCTTATTATTGGCAGTTGGTAGTTTAAACTTTTTAATTGTTGGGGTTTCTTGATATTCAAATATTGCAAACATTAGAAATAAAAAAAAACGGCTGACTCAGCGATTATGTACCTGTCAGTTATCTCCTTTCTATGACATAATATTCTTAATTTTGAACCTTGCTGACAAATTTACAATAGGAGCCAGTAATTGTTTTGAATAGAATTGTTCTTTTATTAACCACGGCCTTGCCACTAAACGCATTTGGATGACACCTGTACCTAGGATTACATCGTGGACACTAATATTTATATTATTTACTAGCTGGTGCCCGCGAATTCGTTCGCATGGGATTTTAAAAGCGCTGCTTTAGGGGGTAGCGTCCTGGACCGGGCAAAATTTTATAGGATTTTTCTGAGATAAAAAAAATTGCCTAAGTTACTCCTTATATCCTCATTTATATGGTAGTAAAATATTATCAAAATAGGTCCAGCCGTTTTGAAGATTACCCGGAACAAACAGACAGGGACTGTTTTTTAGGCATAGGTATCGTGCAAATATCCGTGTGAGAAAAAACATTTTATTTTGACATTCCAAACAGACACTTCAATTTATTTGTATAGATGAGATTACTTTCATAAGATTAAGATTTAAATGTGACTTACTTGTTGCATGAAACATAAAAATATATTTAACTTTTGCTAATTCAATTCAATGACGGGCCTGTTGGTCTAGTGGTTAGTGACCCTGACTGCTAAGTCGGAGGTCGTGGGTTCGATTCCCACCCAGGACAAATAATTGTGTGATGAGCACGATCATTTGTTCTGTGTCTGGGTGTAATTTATCTATATTATGTATGTATTTAGAAATATATAAGTATGTTTATCAGCAGTCTGATTACCATAGTACAGGCTCTGCCTAGTTTGGGATCAGACGGCCGTGTGTGAGATGTGTGAAATTATTATTACTATTATTATTATTATTAATGTTGGCAGAAGAGTATTAATTAGGATTAAATAATTAGGATTAAGAACAACTTACTGGCAGCTTATCAAACGAAAACTAAATAAACAAGAATTTACTAGAATTGCATTGCACTTTTTTGTTCATGTTAATAATGATACACTGATAACAATATTTATTCTGACTTAACAAACCAGGATCAAAAATTATACTTAGAAGAAATATTTGAAAAATAGTATGTATTAATATTGGTAACTAGTTAGTTGCTCTTCTATCATAAGAGACTGAAAAATATTTGTGTTTAGTATCTTCTTTAACGCTAAAACAACACATTATACATACGTACACAAACTCGACTATTTGTGATTGTTTTAATTTTAATAGACTACTATTTGAGCTAGCATAACTAAAAGATCTCTATCATAACTTACTGCCGTCACGAACCTTAAAGATGAAAATCTGTCTGTTGATGTCTCAGATCAAATAAAAAAGTTAAGATGGTACTCTGTAAACAAAGAAGTGAGACCAATTAAAACTACGCCTTGGCGTGTACATACACAATTAAAAGTACAACGAAACTACGCCTTGTCAGTCAAAAGCTCATCATAACAACAATAATCAACAATATTTACAAGTAAAATGCCAAATAGTGTTGTGAAAGGGTGTAAAAATATAGTAGTAGGATATATACTATAAATATATAGAGTATGGATACATATAGTAGGATGGAATCGCATTAGACACACAAGTAAGCGTAGAAACCAATATTTTCAATTAAATAAAATTATGATGGCCCACACACCATATTTATACACCCGGCATCACTTCGTTCTTGGCAAAGTTAGATCTTGAATTTTTTATTTGATCTTTGGAGGATGTCTGATGATGAGCCAGTCAGACATTGCCTGCTATGTTTTTCAGAATGGTTCGCATGTAGTCCAGAATTTACACTTTATAACATCCATGTACAACAACAATCATTGTTATATTACATTATAATCATTAAGAGTTTCGTGACAGCATTTAGGATATTCATAGTACCTAGGCTTTTATGAAGAGATAATGAATTGTTTCCAGCAAGAAAAAAATAGATCGTAATTATGTACAATATATATGTGTTCTGTGATATTAAACTAATTTTTCGTGTGAAATCAAAATGACTGTGCAATAGATTTACTAATAAACTCTTATTTGTTTTATTTTAAATGGTACGTGAACCCATGGTACCATTTAGCTTTCCTCACTACAATTTGCTATCGTAGATGTAGTCGACGAAATGACGACGCAGGTGTTACTAAGGCTAACAGACATGTTATACTTGTTGTGCTTGATGTCAAGTTGCAAAGTGGGATCAGAAAATATAATATCTGTGGTACCTATTTATTAATTACTGCATAATACCATCCACACGTCTGTTGCACTCGCCGTGATGGCGGTGCGTGCAGTACCTGACATTATGATAGGTGGTATTTCAGTGTAATTGCTTTTTTTTGTGTGCGTTATGAAACCGAATTCAAAGCGGTAAGTATAGGAGAGATACTTTTCTAGAGAAATTATTATTCATAGTGTGGTAGGCTTTGAAGCGTTTTGGTTTTAGGATTTTGAATTCAATCAAATAAATTTGTCTATAAATAAATAACTTGTCTATAAAAAACCAAATTATATTTCCTCAGTTGTTCGGTCAATGTATTAATTACTGCTATCAGTCGTCTTCTGTAGGTCTGTTCTCCGTCATAGAGACCATCGCTCCCAAGTTATCTTCATTCCCTCGTTTTAATCTCTCCCATATCAATTCAGCAATAGCCTTCTGTGTTCTCCTTTCCAACTTTTCCAATTTCTTGGCTACATCTCTTTTCAGATCCCAGTCTGGTTTCCGTGGTGCTAAACTAGAAATGTCTAAATCTTGCAAGACTACCTGCAAAAATGAAAGAGATAGTGTAGGATGTAGATAAATCATTACAACATTAATAATATTTAGATATGGTCAGCTTCCTAATATCTTTCAATAATCCAACTATAGTCATAGTCCATTTGCCCTTAAGAAATGAGTGACGCATCAATCACACCCCACACCCTGATCAATCAAGTTACTAGTTATTGTAAGAAACATTAATTTCTTGGAACCTAATTAATCAGGGGGCAGGGTGGGGTTTAGAGAACATGAAAATTTAAATCATAGGTTCAAAAAACCTATAACAATGTATATCATAATATATTCAATAGTATATTTGAATATATTTTGGTTGGTATAGGGTTTGTTTCAAATTTTCCTTCTTTTTCCAGTTAGCTCCCTTAGTAAACTGTTACGACACCCACGAGATGAACAGGGGGTGTCGACACTACATATTCTTAATCCGTCACCACACAGACATCATGAGCAATAATATATTATCTATATAATATGTATTAATTAATTAATTTATATTAAAAAAGTTAAATTAATTTATAGTATTACTAAGTAACCTTCTTTTATCAAAAGTTAACAATAAAGGGACTGACCTTTTCTTTACCAGCTTCAAGCAAATCTTTGACTTCATTTTCAACTGCAGCAGGTTCAGCTTCCGCTAATTTTGCTTCCTTGAGTTTTTCGTCTTGTGGCTTATAACTACGAAATTTGGGTCTGCAACAATAAACTTAATTTAACATAATATTCACACCCTATACCCGTAACACCTTTAAATAACCAAAGTAAATAGACAAGCATAGCAACACAAGGCAATACCCAAAAAGTACAAGCCAGACCAAAATAACCTCTTTTGATGCTTACTTAGGAAGTGGAACTACGTCAGCTGGTTCATTATTTGACGCATCGTCACTAGGATTCTTACGTTTGAGGTTCTTTAACCTTTCTTTCCTTTTGAGAGCTTGTTCTTCCAAACTTCCAACACTTTCACTGGTGTCCATGATAACCATAACGTTCTGCCAGAGTACTGGTACTATGAAAAAACTAGTAGAGTACGGAAAGGAATTTAAAATATTGTAATAAGGTTCCGTGTCAACTTATAAAAAACATATTATTCTTACGTTTGATGAACAATAATATTAATCTTATAAAGCCAAAGTGACAAATTGTTTGTTGTGACAAGATGACAAGAGACCATAAACTAAATTACAAGCTTTGATTCGATTATGTTTTAATCTATGAAATACTAATAACGTAGTCTGAAGAACGAATGTAATTTCAGGTCGATAGAAACAAAGAATATTAAAATGATACTTGCACTTTTTAAAATTAGAACAAAAAAAAATTAAAGTTAATAATAATAATATGTATTTAAATATATTTTGACACAAGAGTTGAAAATAAACGAGGGCGCCATCTTCGCTCATGTGGCAACTACTCAACTCGCATAGATAACTATATACTATTAGGGCGTAGTGGTCGGCATCAGACATCGTAGAGGATACAATGAATCAAGATTGTAGACATAAGGGATCTTTAGCAATCCATCCCTTAAGGGGTTGAAATGAGGTGTTTTTTCTTACTTTTTCATTTTTGAATAAAGAGTTTTTTTATCAATTGGCAGATAGATTTAGGCAAGTAATGTTTACAAAAAGTATCGTACTATTCTCTTTTTAGAAACTTTCATCCCTTATTTTACCCACCTAAACAATGTTTTTTTTAAATAGTGAACCAAATTTTGTGTTAAACCATGAGGATAGACATAATGTTTAATATTTTTTAATTTAAATTTGGTCGATTTTCAAACAAACATTCATCACCTATTTTAAACCCTTAAGGAATAAATTTCTAAAAACGTCTATATAGAAATTATCTTCCCGAATCTCAAGTTACTGGCATTTATAGCCACGATTATTACATAAATTCCCACACTTATAGGGTAGTTCTGAAAGTTAGAAAAAAATCGCTTTCCTTACAGTATTTTTTGCTGGCTTGCACATGTATTGTGTCAAAAACTTCTAACACCTTCGAAAGACAATCCTGCCTATACTTGGCTGGTGTCGAGAATTTTACACTTATACTATGTGTTTATATTATACCATTATTTTTCATTTTGTAGTAGTCCTAGCATTTTAGGAATTAATCTGACGGGTGGTACAACTTTGCACACGTCAAGGCAAAATAACCTACGTTTTGTTTTATTCACTACGGTTTACTTCTTTTTTACCATTCCTGACGTTGTACTTTATTCCTAAAAGCAATAGAGGAGAGGGTCCGGTTTCTGAGGTTTTCAATGTGAGCAATTTTGTTAAACGGCAGAAAAACTTACACACCAATTTGATCGAAATTAACAATTATGACATTATTTTAATTGCGGTTTAGATATAACGTTCATATAACGATTAAAACAAATAAATAGTTTTTGCGTAATCTTTAAAATAAGCCAAAAAGCAGTGAAGGTTTTACGGGATACTGAAATGACTGTGCAATAGATTTACTAATAAACTCTTATTTGTTTTATTTTAAATGGTACGTGAACCCATGGTACTATTTCGCTTTCCTCACTACAATTTGCGATCGTAGATGTAGTCGACGAAATGACGACGCAGGTGTTACTAAGACTAACAGACACAGGTTATACTTGTGGAGCTTAATATCAAGTTGCAAAGTGGGATCAGAAAATAATATCTGTGTTAACTATTTATTTAATACTGCATAATAAAATCCACACGTCTGTTGCACTCGCCGTGATGGCAGTGCGGGCAGGACGTGACATTATCATAGGGGGTATTTCATTGTAGTTGCTGTTAGTTTGTGTACGTAATGGAACCGCAATGGTAATTAGTAATTATTATACCTACTGTACACGATAGTCTCTACTATTTACCATGTTGCTCTATTCAATGGCTATGTGAAAGAGGTCAAAAATGCGATTGGGTCGCCACTTCGCCAATTGAACATAATATTACGAGTAGTAAGTAAGATAAAAGTAAGTATAGGCCATCCTTCTTTTGTTTATAATAAAGAGGTATCTATATCTATCAATACCTAACACCAATGACTATGAAATATTGTATACACGAAGTTTTTTTATTTAGATCAAATGTTCACAAACGATATCAAAAAAACTTTTAAGCGAGCTGAGGGCCCAGCCATAAATTATGTCACACGAATTTCATGGCTTTATGACCTCCACCCCCGTCTTTGTCACAGCTATACATATTTGTAAGATTTTCCCCTCTCTAGTGTGACATCCATTGAGTTATAACGTACTATGCTAGTAATATTAGTTCAATGGTGACATCACATATTTTGCAATTTTAAATCTAGAAATTGTTTAATTAAGACAGCAGTTACGAAACTGAAAATATTTTTAATTTAACTGATTATAATTCAAATGTGAATTTGTAATACTTTGATATATTTGGTTTTGAAATGTGACGTTACGAAATTTAAAACTTCTTCCTCCCATTGTCACACTTCGTCATCTAACCCCATTTATTGACGTAATTTATGAATTTAAGAAAGTAAGCATCATACTAAAAACATATTATTTGTATTCTACCAATTTCTATAAATTAATTGAAATACTTGTTTTGGGAGATTGTTTATGTCATATTGTATAATACTAATGAGGAAGCTCAAATATTATTGGGCAGGGATAAACCACACTAGCAATAAAACTCTTAAATAATTGTGTACAATAATATATTTACACGTTACAATTAAGAGGTACTTACACGAATGCATGACTCTGCTCATGAATTTTAATTTTAACAGAATGATAAACAAAAGAGGCGAAATGATTGCTAACCGTTATAGTCTATTCTTAGGACTAATAAATTCACATTAATATATTTTTCTCTTTTAACTAGGTAAACTTATTTTTATCAACTCGTTATTAAAAATATGTTTTGGGTATACAGTATTAGTGTACAGTGTATTCCAATATAGTCAGATATATAATATATTTTTTGAAGACAATTCATTAGCAAGAAACTTTATTTAACAACAAAAATTTACTTATCAAATAATACATAGACACATGTTTGTATGTTTATACTGTAATGGATCATCTACAATTATGTATGTATGTACGATGGTTGTTTTGATTGAAATTAGCTATTTGCTAGGCTCATCTCTTTACACCTCAAACTCAAACACAGACTTAAAAATAAACTTATGACGAACCTTAAACACTTATACCTATTCCTATTTGTTTTGTGGTACATACCATTTTAAAAATATTTTAAAATGCGTTGGTAAGACTCGATATTTACTGAGTCAGTAGTAAGGTAGTGTATTCTATCACTCTAGGTTTTATGTTATTTAAAAATTCTACTTCAAGATACATTTATTAAAGCATATTTAATAGAGCTGGTCACTTAATAAGAAGCCAACATTAACGGGATACGTTGTAATGCGTAAAGGACTTAATAAAATGGTAATCAGATTTACTTCAATTCAACATTTTGCAAAAAAATAGCAAGAAAATACAAGATTCATAATTATGTGACAAAAAGCCAACGTTTTCAGGAAATAATTTTCCATATTTTATATTGTAACTTGACCAGCTATAAAATTATTGATTGAATGAGTTTTTACTTTTACGCCACCTTTGCAGGATGTGACCAAACTTAGTTCTTCCTCATTATTGTCATCGTAATCTTAGTTACACTACTTATGGCAGTTCATAAACATTACTGTAAAATAAATAAATATTTAAATCTAATGCTATCGTAATATACGTACGGAATATAAAAAAAAGGGGAATTTTTATTTTCGACAGATAGGCATTTTTCTACTTCTTTGGTTGTATAACATTATCAGAATATTGTTTAAGTATGTACTGTTAGTGTGTTTATTTTGAAAGAAACTTTTAGTGGTCCCCTATAATAATTTTGTGTTGACAAGATATTATCTTAGATATTATCATGAAACTGGATGAAACTTTACCATTCTGAATTATTTTATAATAATAAATGAAATAGTAATATATAGTATTAGTTATAAAACTAATGCAGTAGTCTTATAAAAGTGGCCGTGTGTGTCTTCGGCTGTCAAATGACGCTCTGAGGTTGGAGAGATGATTATTCAACGAAACGCCATGATTTAGCGATAAGACTTTTGATACGATATTTATGTCTTCTTGGTTTCTTCCATTTAATCCGTTTTGTAGCAATAACTGTTTTAATTCTGCATCTACGTTGTATGGATTTTGTAAATTCTGCGGAAAGAAACGGTTTGCATGGTTCGGGTTGAAAGTATTAAATGTGTTATAATTCTGATTATTGAGTCCAAAATTTCCTACACCGTTTTCTTGCCTAAATACTCGGTGATGCTGTTTTTGTTGACCAAATTGCTCACTAACAGCCCTTACTTGATTGAAGTTATTACCATGTTGGAAATTCGAGTTAGTGTTTGGTTGAAGGAAGTTACTTATTCCTTGTGGTAAATGGTTATCTTGTAACGGAAACTGACCAGGTTGTTGACTACGTAAATGTATCAGGAAGTCCACAGCCTCGCGATTGGGCAGCTGCTGGTTTGTTATTGTGCTACTAGCTTCAATTGGAAAGCTCGGTACAATCGATACCTGAGCATTATTATTTCGAAAAGGTGAATTTTGCTGATTTGTGAATTGGTTCTGAGGAATATTTTTCTGAATTTGAAAATTATTGACAGAACTTTGACTTTGAAATTTGGGTGTATTGGAAAAAAATTGTTGCCTCTGTGCTTCTTTTTGTTGTAAAAGATATTGTTGTTTTAGTAGCAGCTCCTCTTGCTGTCTTTGTTGAAGTTTCAAAAAACGCAGTTGCTCTTCAAGAATTCGTTGTTTCTCTTCCAGTTGTCTTTGTAAAGCTAACTGTTGATTAATAAACTCATTTTGAGATACTTGTTGATTTGAATTTGCACTTGGAATTATTTGTCCGCCTGATAAAGAGGGAACAACTCCGGCCCCTAAATGGTTTCTTGCCGGGTTTTGATGAGGGCGATTAAAGTTATGACCAGTTGTTTGTTGGTAAAGTGGTATAACATTTTTTGGCAATCCTTGTGAGTCTTGTTGTACAGTAAAAGCTGCAACTAAAGGAGCTTGGAATACTTGAACGTCACCTTTACCTACTTCTTCTATATTTTCTCCATCTTCATTATGCGTAGGTTTCGGGGTAGTGGTCGTTGTTGTAGTGGTAGTGGTTGTTGTTGTGGTAGAAGGTAATGGCTTAAATGTAGTCTTCTTAGGACTAACACTATTATCTTTACTGGACTTAACAGTACTTTGAATGCTTCTGGTCTGTGGGAAACTTACTCCACTTTCTTTAGACTGAAATATTTCAGGGAAGGTGGCAGATGTCGGAAGTGTCGCTGTTACTTGATTTTCAACATTACCTGCAGTAGTGCTTAGAATAGAAATATTGTTATCTATTATTGTAGGCGTATTACTAATATTATAAAAGGCAGATTGTCCGTCAACTACGAATGAATGAATTTGAACTTCATTTTTGTCTGTGTGGGGTTCAGAGTCATCGCTAGCTGTTGTCAAAGCATCTGAGTCATCGTCAGTGGTGTCTGCGAAGTCGGTGACTGTTGTACCGTTATCACTTTCTTCGAGTTCGCTTAAAGCTTTAAGAAGTGCTTTTCTTATATACGGAGCTAAACGTGCAGAAGGCTTAGAATCAATAGTATTTAACTGTTCATTGTATCTCTCAGTTGTTGTTGTATCTTCAGCCAAACTTGATGCGAATAGGCAAATAACCACCAACGCCAACATCTGTAAAATAAAACAGAAATATTTAAAACATTGATATTTGTTTTGATCAGTCAGTAAGTAGTTTATTGTTTTTCCATTGGTATAACCGAAGATTATTATCGGTTTTTATCAAACTGAATATAGTAGAAAGCCAACACTTTGGTACCGAATATTTCTATTTACACAATAGGGTCAATTGAAAATATCATTTTTGATGCTAGCTGATAACAATATAAGAACAACAGTAAACGGAATGTAATAATTTACAAGTTCTCCTTACAAATATAATAATAGCTCTATCCCACGAGTATCCTACTATTTTGTTACTATAAAGATCTGATTTATGCAGATGGTTTACGTCGTTGTTAAGAATTTGAAACATAGTCACTTCCACGTTTCCATCCTTTTAAGTTTTTACTCCTTCTTGGTTACATTGGTTGAACAATGTAGAACAATAGGTCTTTTCTTTCATATCCGTTACCTAACGGTAATATTATCCCGAGTTGACAACAATGTGACTTAATACTGGGGCAGACAGTGAGCGGGGCGGCACGGCAACAAGGTGTAAGCAAGTTGTAATGTAGTACTAAAATATAGAAGACATCTCATGACTATGCTGCTCTTAACACTATTACATACTATTACATTTCAACTGCTCACGCCGCCGCTGTCCTGCCTCATTCGTTGTCTGCCGCAACCTTTAGTGCTTGTGACCTAAAATTTTTAAATAAGTGTGTGCCATAGAATTTTTACTCTGTAGAGTAATGTTACAGTAGATTAATTTTCCTGTACTTTACTGTTTGGCTTAAAAAATACCCGTGTTGCTGTGCTGTTGTGAACAGTGATATAGGAATAATAAGTTTTTGTTCAAGAATTGACATAAATCGTATCGTACCGTATCGTACCGATACGATTACAAACTTCTACAGATATATTTTGCGTTTGGATTTTTTGTGGTTGCGGCGTGTGGTGACGGATTAAGAATACAGAGTGTTACCACCCCTATACATCCCATGGGTGTCGTAAGAGGCGACTAAGGGAGCGAAATACGCCGGACAACAGCACTGCAGAGAGAAGGAAAACTTGACACAAACCCTATGCCAACCCGTCTGGCCAGCGTGGTATAGTAGGCCAAAACCTCCTTTCTAAGGAGAGGTCTATGTCCAGCAGTGGACTGTTAAAGGCTGTTGATGATGATGATGAAATTATTCGTGTTTTTGAGAATGTTTTTGAAAAGACGAAGTAAAGTAAAAACTTTAACGTTTTCCGATTTCGAAAAACTAGTAAGGTATACAGAAAATATTAAACCAAAACCTTTTTAAAAGTTCAAGTTTATAGCTTCTGAACGCTTTCATTAAAATATACTTAGCTTTCTCAACATGACAATAAAATCTATTATCTCCATGGTAATGTTAGGCATATGCTTGACCTATACCATGGTATTCCGGACACAGCTGTTCTTAATACACACATCATTTATCAACATCAAATAGTTAATCTTATTGTATTCTGATCTTCATAATGCCTTAAGTGTTTGAAGTTTGCGAGAACGGTATGCCCTTTAGCTAGCTTAGTGATGTGACTATTGCCCCACTCTATAGAAATGTTTTAATGTTTCTTGTCTATTATTATGAATTTCTGCAGTGCAAAACACAATAGAGGTGATTACTTTATTTACCATTCAGGTATTGCAAGCAGATGATGGTATCAATATTGTCAATCTCATTAAACATTTCATATAATATAACGTAGTTCTTTATAGAAGTAATTTTCAGTGTAGTACGGCACTCTCCAGTGTAGTGGATAATAATACAATGTAATGATGATAAGATGACATCTATCATAGAAGGCTCCCGGCCGTGTCACATTAGATTCAACGCTGTTTCTAAACGATTACTCTCTATAAGTCTGTAAACGGCTTGAACGATAGTATTACTGGCGACTTACGTAGTAAGCGGTGGTGGTAAGTAGGTATATCCTTCAGAGAAATACAGTTAATTTATTCGGTGTACCCGACTATGCAAAAGGTCACTGTGAGCTGGTGACTAAATTTTAATTTATGGAAGCAGGCGACCACTTGTTGCAAAATTACGCAATATGTTAGCCGAAAATCGCACTTTCACCTACCATAATTTAAAGAGACGTTTCTCGTCGAATGCCCAAATCAATAGTGTACCTACCATTGACACACCCGCAAACACGCGTGCGACGCACAATGACATAATCCTGTGACTCTGTGACCCAACGACTTCTTCACAAACTACTTTCATCTTGTATCGGAATGCGTGAATATTATTAAAGGATCTTATGGGATGTTGTTCGGCTATAGATTTCATAAAATTTATTCCTTACATAAACTTGTATAAGCCCGGTCGTTGAAAACAACTAATTGACAATGTCAGTTTTGTCTAATATTTTTGCATTGTGTATAAAATAATTGTAAGTATTATGTGAGTCTTAAATTCTGAAAATTTTCGAAACTTTTGGCGAGTTTTCGCCTAAATAGTCGAATTCCCTTCTAACAGATGTTATTTACCAGAGAAAACTGAATGTTATTAGGTGTAACAGATTACATATTTTTGAAATGTAGGTATAGATATTGTATTCACAAATATTATGTTGAAATGGTAAAGTTGAAGTCGCCGTTTCGGTCACTAATCTAGCCAGTTCTTGTTTTTTGCCTGTAATATGGTACAAAATTAAAGGTGGGCACCCAGATAAACGCCACAAATATTCCTATCTCGTGGATCATTTTCTCAAAAAAAAAACCCTATTACGATTTCCTTACCTACCATTTTTATTACCATTACCATTACATTCATTCATTCAAAAGTTGCCCAATTGCCGTAGCCCTAATAAAAATCTATAAAAATCTAAATATTTTGTAATATCGTGCAGAAGGAAGTATTTTATGCCAACATTACCATAGAACACGTGGTTTGTTACTTAACGAACTTACACAACGTACTTATATCAAATAATTGCTACAACTTTTGCAAGTCTTATTTGCTAAATTACTGAAAACGGTTTGTCGTGGGTGTAAGGCGATGTACATATGATAGGATACAAAATTTAAACTTGCACAACAAAACAAAATCATTTTATTATAAGACTCTCAAGAAAGCTGGCAAATATTCAAAACAATCGTTCAAAAACAACCGTCGAATAAGCTTAGAAAATGATTTATTGTTTTAGTAATGTTATTAGACGGTTATCCAATATTTGTTGCTATTCCAGTATCACACGTGTGCTTACTATTAAGTGATAGCTTTTCTATGCTTTCAGATACCCTTTATTAATGCTGACCGCCTTAAAACCTCTTAGCGTCTCAACAAGGTGTTTTTTATTTACAATTTTATTGTTCTCTAGAGTAATAAAGAAGAATCATGTAAAAAAAGGAAAAGATCATTATTAAAAGTGCTTTTATGGTATTATGCGTAGTTGAGGACGCTGATTACGAGAAAAAACATGAAAATTGATTGTTTAATTGTTCAATGTTAAAATTGTATATATTGTAAGTTTGGTTATTGGTATGTTTATTCCACTCATTTATTTATTTATTTATAACTTCTTGCGCAAATGTGTACATCGGCGGACTTAATGCCTAAAGCATTCTCTGCCAGTCGACAGATTGGGCGATGCAGAGAAAGAATGAGGTAGGTGCACTTATGGGGAGGTAATAAATGATGGGATTTTTATAAAGTACATCTATTTTGTCCTTGGACTAGGAAAATATAACAATTAGATGATGAACCGCCCAGCAAAAGCTCCTTTACTTTTATTTTAAAAGAGTGATGATTGATCAGGAAGTTTATTCCACAAGAGGATTGAATAAAGAACGAAGAACGAAGAGGATAGACTGAATAAACAAACCCAGTAGTGTGAGAAGGACAAAGTAGAAGGAGATTGTTAGACGAACGAAGGTTTCTGTTGTAGGTATTGCATAAGAGTTGACATTGTGGTGTTAAATAAGTAGGAGGGAACGGGCCATTGGATAGTATCAAGTCGCGAGTCATCAATTTGCCAAGTTTTGCCAAAAAAGAGTGATTTTCTGCAAATTTCGGGGGATCTGACGGTCCAATTTTTCTCTTTGTTTTTTTATTACGCACATTTGTCACAATCAAATTATTTTCGTAGGAGCTTTAGTTTTCGCTCCAGATGCGAAAAACTTTGTTTTTACAATTGTTGACATTGGTTTGCCACCTTAGCTGACAGTATTTTGTTATGATTTTTTCCTCTAATTTTATTGCATTTTATTGCAATGACAAAAAAGAAAAAATCCGCTTCAATAGCAATTTTCTGGACCAAAAAGCTAATTCTACCTGTCTATTATGAACATGTCTAAAGATGTGTACGAAAATAATCAAAAAAGACTACAACTTGTGTTGACAAAAACAAAATACTGCAGTAATATAGGTCGAGGGTAACATTTCTACAAAAAAATTGTCAAAATAACTTAATAACAATTGTCACACATTGTATTCAGTGTACAAGTATTTTCTTAATTACCCCTGAACCATCCGGATGAGAATGGAGTCGGAAATAATATATAAAATGACTCGGTTCCCACGCGTCTCATGTCTCTTAAAAACACAATAATGAAGGTGAACTGTTGAACAGTTTTATAGATGTAACTAATAGATAATAAAACTTCAGTGTTGTCACCAGTTATGCGTGACAAAATTTATAGTACGCATACGTAAAAAAATGTCCGTGTGGTGACGGATTAAGAATACGGAATGTCACCACCCCTATTCATCCCGTGGGTGTCGTAAGAGCCGACTAAGGGAGCCAACTAGGCAGAACAACAGCACTGCAAAGAGAAGGAAAACTTGACACAAACCCTATACCAACCCGTCTGGCCAGCGTGGTATAGTAGGCCAAAACCTCCTTTCTAAGGAGAGGCCTATGTCCAGCAGTGGACTAGTATAGGCTGTTGATGATGATGATGAAGATGTACAAGGAGCACTGAAGTGCCTAAGTCTTCAACACTTATACTCATTCTTTGAGAAAACAAAACT